AAAAATATTCCCGATAAAAGTGGTCACTGCGGCCAAACCCGAGGTCACAGGACAATATAAATTACATATTCAGACTCAGCATTGAATGGGCTTTCATTTCCAATCAACAAATAAAAAATGCCAGCTTAGGCGAATTTCGACCATATCCTTTAAGTATACCAGGCATAAAAATAATTTCAAAATAGTGAATTACATAATGCTATGTATCCCATAGCAACTCATACTTATTATATTTCGTAGCCTAACAAAAATATCATTATAGTCCCTATTAACTAAAAACACAAAACTAGTTAAATGTTTCAACAAAATTAAGTAAATTTATTTCATTTTTATTGATTATACGTACCTCATGGTGATGTTTACGAGTTTTTCATTGCCATTGTCTAAATCCAATTTAAATATGGGCGCGAAGTCAACAAATGTGAGCCTACAGACACTTTTAGGTGGTAGGTCATCATCAAATGCTACAATATTATCTATTCGTGACACTTTATCCACAAATCTTTGCTGGTTCCTATTTATCATAAAACTAGAAGTCATTGTGATAAATATAAGCTTGTATATTTAATACAAAATAAATCATAAGAATATTCTGTAAACAATACACTTATATAAACAGAATTCACATTTTATATAATAACAACATACATGCGCGCTGAATACCTGTCCACTTCCTTTATATTTTATGCGCCAACAATATTTTTTATGAAATTTTTGTTAACAGAATATTCTTTATTTGATAGAATAATTTAATCTCATGTTAATTTCAATCAATATATAATTAATATAATTAGATGCAATTGGAAAAAATTTAAAAATAATTATAAAAATTGGCATTTTATAAATCTCATAAATAATAAAATAAATCGATAGCTATTGATACAAATGATTTCATATGTAATGTTATGTAAAGTTTATAATACAGGGTATATAACGTATTAAGCAAACAATGTTGACAAGGTTACGGTAATCAATAAAAATAAGGATATAATAATATTAAATTCATATTATTAAACAATTGTTCTGGTTACTCGTAGATTTTGAATCTTGATCCTTATCATGATCTACACCATAGTATCCGACATCATAATAAAGTTTAAGCGCATAATATTGCGTAAGACTGAGCGTTAGGTTAGAGGACAGGAGGGCCTGAAATGAACGGTCAGTATTAGTGTCGAGCGTTGTCTTGAGATAATTCTTCGCAAATATGGGAACCGTTTCGCAGCTCAAGAGAAGCCATTTGTACTGTTCTTGTGATGTCCGCCACTCATCCCTTCCCATGAAGTCATTGATCGCGTGTTTTATGTCTGAATAGTCCTTATGTAAAGCAAACACCCGGTGCTCGAGGTATACGGGCGGAGGCGGTGGTAGTGCAGAGCTGATGGGTATATCTGCCGACACTTCCCGGGGTTTGGTATACGCTATGCGTAGGAATCGTATGTAATCTCCGGTTCCTCGGGTGATAGACATCTGTTTCGTGTCAATTGATACCACTATTTAGATAATTGTACTTAAAATTAATTAAAATTCAAAAATAATTTTAAAACTAATTATATTTACTTGACTTGAGTTTTACATCCAATGACATCGCACTACAAAAGTTTATTTCCGGGTTTTCGGACAACCATTTTGAGGCCTTCCGTAATACACAGGACTGGGACTCAAACTGCGGTCTCTTAAACATACCGCCCCCTTCCAGACACTGGGGCACAAAGTCAGCCAACCCTACCTCCTCGTCCTGTATCGGCCCTATCGTCCAAAACACTCGTAACACAAATACAGTCTTTCCTATCCATGGCGTGGATTGAGTGCACTGGGAGTC